AAAGACGGGGGGGGGATCTGTTCTTATATATTGAAAATGAATGTATTGTTTGAAATCTGCTCCTTTGTTTTAATCATTTTTTTTTAAAGCAAGGGTGACTTTTTAAAAATTGTGCAATGTGTGGACAACAGGCACTTGTTTCTGTAATAAATTTTGACCCAAAGTATAATAATAACACTAGGTATTTAACTCCGATTTACACCGAGTAACCCCCTCCTTTAGAATCGTGCTCATTTACACATATAGAGGAAATGCACGGGTAAACTGTTTATACCTATGTCTTCTACGATAATTTATCTACACAACCATATCTGGCATGCTTGTCTTTATTTACTTTTATCTCCGTAATCAGTTTCAGAAGTCTGCACTTTTTAGTGCGCAATAAATTTACAGTTTTTACAATGGGTGACACTGTAGCTCTCCGGTCTATCATTATTTATTTTTTCGGAAAGCTACAGTTCTGCAGCTATAATTATTTCGTTAAGTTCTATGGCCGATACAATGACCTGGTCAGCAATTACAATGAAACATGGAGATAACGAACAGTATTCAAGATCAGAAGTCAACAAACTCAAATTTAAATCAATAAATTGTCATTGAGTAAAATGCTGACTGGCGTGTTTTAGCTCTCCTGGTCACAGACCAGAAGAGCTTTTGCGATAGTAATGGGTCCGTCCGTCTGTCTGTGAACAATCTTTCAAAATTTTACTCCTCTTACAGTTTAGGTCCGATTTCAATATAACATGGCACACAAGTAAACTACACTAAGATACATAATTCTGTGCATCGGTCTCTGATTTCGATGAACGGTGTTGCCATGGTTCCTAAAAATAGAAATTTCTGTGAAATTCTTTTAAAATGCAACTCCTCTGACAGTTTTGGTCCGATTTCAATATAACATGGTACACAAGTATACTACGTGTATAATAAGACACATAATTCTGTGCATCGGTTTTTGATTTCGAAGAAAGGTGTTGCCATGATTACAAAAAATAGAAATTTCTATGAAATTTTTTTCACGACAGAGACTTCTTGTTATACTAATTCTTAGTCTGTTATTTTTACCCTGAATTGACGACGGATTTTTTTTTATGACAAGGAGTATACGGTCTGTGACCGGTCGACAGGGAATGCTCATTCATTTATGGCAGCTTATCCCAACTCCGATGTTTTGGAGGTCCGTGTTTGCTCAGCTGTTATTTTGTTTTGTTTCATAGATTTTTAATCTTGACAACTGTTCTTGATTTTTACAGTTAGTGTACATGCTTCATATTACAAATGAAGAGGAAAAAGATTGGATTTTTGGGGGGGACTTTCTTTTTTATTCAAATCTGCGTATATATATTTCTAAAATCAATATTACTAGTTGGTGCTGATTGCAAGGTTCTCCGTAAAAATGGTCACACAGACACTAATTCTGTATAACAGATATACATTGTACTTTGGTACCGACTCCGATTCAGTCCCAGTGTTCTGTGACATGAAAACTAGGGGAGGTGGATGGACGGTATTTAGTTTTTCCTCTACTGGTCGAAGATCATGATATGGATGTTTGCACGGTGGTCTGATGATTGATATAGGTTTTCGAACTAAGCATTAATATGGATTATGGAATATAATATTAACTTAATCCGTATCGCAAAGAACGGGATCGTTATATTTACTACATAGTAACTACACTGTAACTACATGTATAATATAATTATGTATAATTCCCTACTTATAATGACTTGTGTCTGTTATCTATAAACACTTAAAAAATCCATTTTAGAAACAACTTGTATCAAATGCATTTTCCTATTATTCGTTTCTCTTTCAGCTAAAGACTGTAAGGGCCTTCGTGACAATGGCCATAGTGATTCCGGTGTATACGAGATTTATCCCTTTGGTACAGACCCCCGCCCTGTCAGAGTTTACTGTGACATGAACTTAGTTGGAGGAGGCTGGACGGTATTTATTTCTTAATTTATTAAAAAAATGACGCATTACATTAGAGTACATATTTATAATTTGTTCTCCTTTTGTCCGTGATAGACACACACACAAAATTTTTTATAAGTATTGCTGAAAAAAATATTATTAGATAAATGTAATTCTTTGAAAGGCAATCCAAAAACGTGTAAATGGATCTGTGAGCTTTCAGAGAACTTGGGACGATTATAAAAATGGATTTGGTGACGTGGGACAAGATTTCTGGATCGGTAATTATAAATTATAAATTCAATCGAAAAAAATTATCCAAACTCGTCCACTTTTTTCCAGTCGAAAGAGCAAAACAAAGGTCCAGTGATTTTTAAATTGTATACTTAGTACTTTGCAAACAATATTCATTTTTCTCCTGTAATTCATTTCTCGAAAGGAGACCAGAAATAACTACAGAATAGAATTCTGAACAATATATTGACAATAGTTCAAAAGTCTTAATTATCAATACAACAGAAATGTCTGACACTTGAAGTTTCGAAGTAAGCTTTAAGAGTAAAACACAGGTAGCACTAGTAAGGCAATACATGTGTAATTTAACTCTTCCTTAATACATCATTTACCCCTAAATAGAACTGTCGTTTACGCATTATTAATTCTGATACTTGCTACACAGGAAATGAACTCATCTACCAGTTAACAAAGGGAAAGAACTCCAATCTCTACATTTCCATCACTCTGGTGAACGGTAGCAAACTATACGAGTTGTACGATCAGTTCTCAGTTTCAAATGAAGAAGATGACTATCAACTTTTTTTGGCAGAGAATGCTTCTGGAACCCTAGGTACTTTAAAAAATTATTCTCACTTTGATATCGAGAAAGAGAGAGATAGAGAGATGCAGACTTATACTATTTTAAACTTATAAATGAAAGAAAACGTGAATGTCTTTATAAAGTAGCTTTGTAAGGCCATTTAAAAAACCGTTTGGTTACCCTCTCACGTTAGACTGGCTTAAAATAGCTCGACTCAAATATTTAGTAACCTTATTTTGTAAAACAAACATTATTGTAAAGTTAGCTTAATATAATTCTCCAGGTGACAGTATGTTACACACAGACATCTCTTCCGGGGATTTGTCTGGGATGAAATTCTCGACGTTTGACAGAGATAACGATCGATGGAGTGGTGGAAGCTGTGCTGTTTATAGGAGAGGAGGCTGGTGGTTTAACGAGTGTAATTACGCCCTCCTGAACGGTCCCTGGGCTACAAGTTCGTGGCATTGGCCTTGGTTTCCCACAGTTACAAACGGGACATCTGTCTGCGAAACACAAATGATGATCAGACGTCATTAGGTGACATGTGATAAAACATTCAAAATTTTCTTGTTAATTTCATGTCACTGTGGCTTATAACCTGATACGAATGTTATTATGTGCCTTTTCAATTCAAACAAGTATACCTCTTTCTGGACTTTTGCGAAGACACTGACTTTTACAGTTGACGGCTTACTTTTACAACAGGAAAATATACGGTAGCTCTTTTGTGAAAAAATATTGATCTTAATATTTAACAAAAAGATAATAATTCAAATTTCTATTTCAGAGATCATATTACGTTGTCTAGGACGAAAATGGAAACATTCCTACCCTCAACACCCTCCCTTCAAGTCTTGACTAACTTCTGCCGAGTTTTCCTACAGAAATGTGTCTTCTTCTTTATTCAGTAATTTCATTTCTTAAGTTATTTAAAATAAAAGGATATATTAATTCGCTTGAATAAAGTATCCAAATAAATTTTATTTTACCATTAATTATAATTTTCGTTTGATAAATTATTTCTAAGCCCCGAATACAATAACTTTCACCTCTTGAGATGTTTTCTATTTTCTTTTTTCAATTCCGTACCTCCGTACATGACGCAGGTTTAAATGTCCAAGTAAGCTGTCGAATGTAAAAGTAAGTCTCTTCATAAAACTCCATAAGTGTATGTATATTTGGCGTTCAGTGGTTTTTATACACTCTCTGAGTAAGAGAAGTTAAAATGTCTTTATTTATTTAATTATACCCCCGCTCCGAAGGGGAGGGGGTATACTGTTTTACCCTTGTTTGTCTGTCTGTCCGTAACAAATTTTTGTCGCAGTTTTCTCAGCAACTACTCATCGCAGAAGCTTGAAATTTTAACACAATCTTCTCTGAGGCATGCCATATGTTTGGATACATTTTTGTGCAAATCTGATGTCAACTTACTGTATGTCTGTGCGTCTGTCCATTTTATACATAACAAATTTTCGTCGCAGTTCTCTCAGCAACTACTCATCGCAGAAGCTTGAAATTTTAATACAATTTTCCCTGAGTCATGCCATACGTTTGAATAAATTTTTGTTCAACTTCCTGTTTGTCTGTGCATCTGTTCGTTTCATACATAACAAATTTTCGTTGCAGTTTTCTCAGCAACTACTCATCAAAGATGCTTGAAATTTAATAGTTTTCTCTGAGACATGCCATATGTTGGGATACATTTTTGTTCAAATAGGATGTCAACTTCCTGTTTGTCTGTCGTTCGTTTCATACACAACAAATTTTCGTCGCAATTTTTCTTCACAGAAGCTTGAAATTTTAATACAATCTTCTCTAAGTCATGCCATACGTTGGGATACATTTTTGTTCAAATCAAACAACTTCCTGTTTGTCTGTGTGTCTGTCCATTTCATACATAACAAATTTTCGTCTCAGTTTTCTCAGAAACTACTCATCGCAAATGCTTGAAATTTTAGTACACTCTTTGTTGAGACATTTTATATAGTGGGATTCATTTTGATGTTAATCTGATATCAACTCATATTTTGCTGTGCATTTGTCTGTAATTGAGCTTGTATATATATTAACATGGAAGTGTTGATTCACATCAGAGTGGGGGTATTACTAGTGAGCATTGGCTTACAGATTTCTTGTTTTCTTACACTGACAGCTGATGATTTAATGGAACTTTATAAAAACTCTCAGAATTTTTTTCCCATGAAATAGACCTTTAATTTATAGCATCTGTACCGAGAAACCCTTGTCCTCTAATTTCATCTTTTTGTTGCTTTATTTTTTCTCGAATGAAATTAACTCTCCATACTTATATACATGTAACTGTTCTCAATAAAATATACATGTAACTGTTCTCAATAAAATTGAATTCATAAATATTTCATTCTTCTTTTTTTTGAAATTCTGCTATATGGACATACCTGGACAACTGATGAAAGGAAGAACACTCTATTATGAATTGTCTAACAACTCCCTAAAAATAAAGATACAAACTACCGGTATGTCATACATGCGTAGGAACATAGCCATAGTTATTTTTTTACATAACTGCGTACATCATGTGTTACTATATAGTTGTGTCCATATACGATCCATGTTAAACAAATCATATACATATGGTTTATTACATAACCTTATAGAACTCTGGTGGTTATAGCAATTCAAAGGCAGATCCGGCACCGGGGGTGCAATCCTTCAACAACAACAACCCCCCCCCCCCCCCTTCCCTTAAAAAAATTGTATGTATAAAAAACAAGGCATTTACCTTAAGTTTAAAACATAAATTGATAAAAATGATAGCATTTAAGTCCTTTATTTCACGAGCGTTATACAGTTATGTGTGTACATGTACAGTACGAGATATTCCGGAATTTTGTTTTGCGACCGTGTGTAATCTAACAAAAGGTCACGACTCGTTTATTCCAATGTGGAAAATACAAAGTAATAGACAAAATCGAAACTTTTTGAGTAACTTTGACAGTCAGTCCTAGATTGTGACAAGGGTCGATGTCAAGTCATTTATACAGGTGATATAAGCAATATTCAAGATATAATTAGAGACTTCCAAATTATAATTCTGCAGAGATTGAGAAAGAGAGAAAGAGAGGAGAAAACAAAAGTTCTCTTGGCTCAGGAACATGTATTTAATCTCACAACAGACAAATTATCTTTTGTTGGCGAGAGGACTCAAATTCATTCCCTCCTCGAGCTCACGCAACTCTAACAAGAGGCCCATGGGCCACATCGCTCACCTGAGTAACTTGGGTGATGCAGTTCTTTACCAGATTCCCCCTCTTGCTATTTCTATCATGCCCCCTACCCCTGAGGGTTATGATTTTAACAATTTAATATCTACACTACCCAAGGATGCTTCCACATAAGTTTCAGCTTTCCTGGCCCAGTGGTTCTTGAAAAGAAGATTTTTAAAGATTTGTTCTATATATTTCCATGTAAAATTTGGATTCCCTATTGTGGTCCCGCCTTACCTCTGGGGGTCATGATTTTAACAATTTAATATCTTCACTACCCAAGGATGCTTCCACATAAGTTTCAGCTTTCCTGACCAAGTGGTTCTTGAGCAGAAGATTTTAAAGATTTGATCTATATATTTCTTTTTAAAACTTGGGATTCCCTATTGTGCCCCCGCCCAACCCCCGGTGGTCATGATTTTAACTATTTACCTTGTAATATCTTCACTTCCTAAGGATGCTTCCACATAAAGTTCAGCTTTCCTGGCCCAGTGGTTCTTGAGAAGAAGATTTTGTAGTGAC